ATATATAAATGCAAATTTTTTAGCTTTTCAAATTTAGTGGCTATGAGGCTTTTACACCCCCTTTAACATTTTAAACCATAATTTAAATATTACACACATATGGCAAAAATAGTATGCTTAAAATTTTTAAAGGGCTTGGAATGGAAACCAACAGTCACTTTTAGTTCCTTTCCCCAGAGTTTAATCAATTTAACAGCTTAGTTTTAGGACATAGTATTGGTTAAATCGGTGCTTTGAATAATAGATTTATTTTCTACTTTTAAAAATCAACCATAGATATTATTGAATGACTTCCTACTCTGTTAGCTAAAAATTTAGATAACATCTCCTGCTTGAGTTACTTTTGTTCATGTTTCTACCTTGTATGCTTTTATGACGACTCATGAATATTGACCAAAATCAAACTACTTGTGGCTTCAAAACACAGATTTTTTATCTTCATTGAGGAAATATTTTATAATTATAGCTTTTAAAAACAGAGACAGTCACTCTTCTATATCCCTTCTATTCTCACAATTGTATTTCTTAACAATATGAACTTTATCTTTTTCTGCTATCTCTAGATAAATTTTTGTCTTTTCTATAATCAGAGAGCAGAGTACCAGTCAAGTTTTTGGTAATTTGATTATGAGCTGATTAGTTTTAGGTTAAATGTAAATGTTAACAATATTTTGATAATGTTATACTGTTTCCTGGAAGTTAAGTGATGGACTTAGACATAATTTCTTCCTCTATGAATCTAGTATCATAATATCTGTGTCACTCAATAAAATATCCTTTAATATGTATCAGTAAACCAGATAGGATAGCGTATACCTTTAATCCCAGTATTGGGGAGAAAGAGGATATGGGAATCTCTGCATGCTCAAGGCTAGCCTGATCTACATAGTGAATTCCAGGCCAAACTAAGCTACATAGTATGACAGAGTCTCAAAAAGTTAAAAATTAAGTCATTGTCTTCACTTATTCAGATTTTCTTCAAAGGTCTCAGTCTTACACTGGAGAGAAGCCCCAACATTTTAAAATACTTATCACTGTTACAGAGGACAGAGATTCAGTTCTCAACCCTCAATGCTGGCTCATAACCAACTGTAACTCCAGTTCTTGGGAATCCAACATCCTGATCTGGCTTCTATGGATACTTCACATGTGATGCACACATACATGCAGACAAACACCCACAGACATAAAACTAATAAATCTTTTTTTTAAATCCAAGTCTATGTAAAGATCAAATCTGCTTATCCTTATTTTTTTAAAAAAATAGTTTAACTGGTATTAAAATCTTCAAATTGAGCATGGTGGTAACATGATGTGTCCCTGTACATACATATAGATACATATAAGTATATATATATATACATATATATATGTATATATATATGCATATATGTGATATTTAAATCAGTTTAAGCATACTTATATCTGTATCATTTCCATGATGACTGTATTAATTTATATTTCCACAAAGATATTGCAAGTCCTTCTCTTACAACTGTCTATTCTGGAAGATTTCTCAATGTCTCCTGCACAGTTCTCATCATGCAAGAAGTCATTGTTTTCCTTATCTCACTTCTTCCTCTGTTGAGTTTATAACTTGTTCACTGTAATATACCTTCAGGTAATTTCTTCAGAAAATGGTACAGAACATAAAGTTCTGGAATGTTGCACATCTGAAAAGATTCTCCATTGTCTTCCTTGGATTTTTCTTCTTCAGTACAAAGGCCTGGGTCCATATTGCATTTCAGTATCTATGGTAATAAAAAGCTCAATTCCAATCTAATTCTTACTTGTTTACATGTAAGCATCTTAAATGCCTTGAAAGTTTTAAACTTTACTTTGTTCTTAACTATCTCACATTTCACAGTAATTTTGTTACAGGTACTATACAAAAATTGAATAAGTTCCCGTGTTCTTTTGTGTCTCTTATTCTAGAAATCTTATTTAAATACTGGAACCAATATGTTATGTCTCATTCCTCCTCGCCCTTTTTCAGTGTTATCATTTTTCAGTTTGGGGAAAATATTCTTAATCTTCTACCTGTTTTTATAACATGTAATCATAGTTTTCACTTCCTAATGGATTTCTTATGTTTTTCTCTCACTGTCCAAATGCTCAGTACAATCATGTCTAAAGGGGAAAGGGTCTCATCTACTCTCTGCATTCTCTTTTATCAGAACACCATCTTTAATAGCTTATTGTTTTTTATTGCAATTTTAAAACTATCAGTATTATCTACTAACTTTAAAATTTGGAGTAACAATTCCCTTGGCCACTTTGAGTATTTACACAGAGATTGGTACTTTTTCCATGCTTAATAGGCAAGGAGACTGTATCATTAAGCAGGCGACGCCTGTGCTGAGCCTCCAAAATTTACATCATCTACTTTAAATATTTTAGGGAAACTAACACACGGTTTTGCAGTTGTGTTGACCAGTTTTGGAGCCCTACGTCTAGGGGAGGAAATGCGATCAATTGTTCTTAACCTTCTTTCAGTAGTGCCCATGCGTTCAGTTCATCGGAACACTCCAGATGTGCTCTCTCCATATTTTCTGAGTCCATATTTCATTTTTTTAAGGTAATAGTAATGCACCTCCTTCTTCAGCCATTACCTACTCTGCCCAAACTGACACATCTCCTTCCAGATCTTCCATAACCACTCTCCATCATCTGTTCCTTTGAGGAACTTATTGAAAGATATCTACAAGTACTTCTTTGAACTATTTCCCTTGTCTTTGGGATTTAAAAAAAATATTTTTATTGTTATACTCCACTGTAATTTTATTGAAATCAGAAAATAGAAGAGATAAAAGCAGATATTAGTTCATTGTTTCAAGCCAGAATTATTTTTCATCTTTCAGGGAAAAAAAAACACATACATTGTTCTATGGTTTAATTGGAGATGGGGATATATTTTTATTTCAATCTATGCACGCTGCAATTTTTCATGGTCTTTTCATCTGTTAACTTATAAATGTTTATGTGTGGCATCATTAAACATCATTTTCACATAACATATAGTCATATCATCTACTCAACTAGGTTCATTCAAAATATTTTAACATTTCTCTAATTCAAATGGAGACTACTTTGCTCATATGTTTTCATGTGTTGATAACAATTTGAACTGCCATATTCCAAGTAGGCTTAACCCAAGCTATATATAGATATAGCTAGATACAGATATGTAGATAGATATGTAGATAGATAGATAGATAGATAGATAGATAGATAGATAGATAGATAGATAGATAGATACAGGTATATGGCATGCATATACCTATATATTGATTCTCATGAATCACTTGCCTAGTCTTGATAAACTGGGGCTTAAGAATCTGTAAAATGATAAACTAAAAAAAGGTGAGATCGTATGTAATTCCTTTCAAAGAAAGTGGAACATGATTCCAGTTCAGGTATCCTAAAAAGTTAGGGATTACAGAATGTGTAGTTAGTGTTGCAATAACAAAGCAAAACATGTCCCCATGCTTCATCTTCCTAATTAGGCAGCTTGGTGTCCTACCAATTACAAATTATTCTTATGAGGACCATATAGAGAGAAATATGAATCAAAATAAGATCCAAGCCAGATTGCTTTTGTCCGTGATTTGCCTTAAGCCTTTCTTCTTTTTTGCCCAAGACAGAGGCACCAGCAGCAATGAACTAGACATTTATCAATTTTTACACTAGCCAGAGGAATATAGAAAAATATGAATTAAGACCTCAAAAAATAAAAGGAAAAAATTAATAAATAGGAAAGTTATTTCTTTGTTCAAACCAAAGGTAAATATTTATAGGCAGTTTGTTTATGAAAATGTATTAGATAAATTACTTCTAAATTCTGCTATTTAAAAATCCACAAAAAATATTTGCCCTTGGTTTTGGTCCTGGCATTTATGAAACAACAGCTATTCTTAAAACCTATCCACAGTCAAAATGACTACATATATCAATATAAATATTAGTATATGTATTTAGTACGTATATATACATGTATTTTTCATGAAATTCATGTTGTTCCTTATACATTGGGTTACTGAAACTTTCATTACATGTTCTCTTAGAGTCTGAAAACACGAGATTTTTAAGGTTTTGTTCTTTGCATGTTCATGGTTGCTCTATCAAGCCCTTTTATCTTTACATTGGGTCTTTCAAAACTCTATACCTTTCAAGGAGTCTGTGATCAAATTTTCACTGTTGTGTTATATAAGGATGTATTTCAACGGAAAAATGATTTAAAAATCAACTTTAGAGTTCTGTCTAGCTTATGTACTGTCAAGAACCATAAAACATAAGAAAGGGGGAGAGATCCCAGTGGTTGAAAATCAAGCTAACATGACTTCTAGCAGGAGCAGGTGCATCTCTGACTCTTTTGCCTGCTCTTAGGACTCTTTTCCTCCTATTAGGTTGCCTTGTCCAGCCTCCATATGAGGACTTTCAACTTGTCTTATTGCAGCTTGTTTTGTCCTATTTGACTTGGAGGGCTGACGTTTTCTGAAGGGAAATAGAGAGGGAATGGATCTGAAGAAGGGAGCTGGAGGGAACTGGGAAAAGTGAGGGCAGGGAAACTGTTGTTGGGATGTATTGTATGAGAGACAAATCTACTTCCTATTAAAAAAAGAATGTCTTTCAATGAAAACAAAGTCTTGAAATTTAAAAAAAAAGAAAAGAAATTAACCATGCTTCCAACATTTTTATTTAGAGTAAGCAGGGACTGATTGATATAATGATATGACTTTTCTCTTTTATTTCTTTTTGGTTCATATAAACCATTTTTCTATAGTATTATATTTACATTTAGAGCATCAAAATAACAAGCCATGGCTCCTTTGAGGGGTTGAATACATTATAGTCAACATGATGCTCATTCACTCTGAACATGTGACATTCATTTCATGGATTTACTTTGTCTTATATACCTCGCTTTGTTTTCTTCTGAGTTTGTGTATTGGATTCATTGACTTTGTTCAACCAACATGTTTATGTTCCTCTAATTTCAGCATGTGGCAAATTGATGAAAATCACAGGCCCCATCACAGTCAAGACATCTGGAACTCGATTTGGTGCTTGGATGACGGATCCCTTAGCATCTGAAAAACATAACAGAGTATGTTGCTTCTATAAATGCTTTTGCTTATAATTCAGTTTCTCTTATACTATTTTCTCCCAGTCTATTCCTTTTTATCATGATATGTGTTCTGATGTAAGGAGTATTATTTCTGATATTTTCCAATTACAACTGCTAATAAATCTAATGTGTGGAGCAAACCTATTTTAGTAATATGTTCCTCTTACAGTTCTTCAGTGTAGTCTAGTCTAATCATCAGTGAATTTAGTCTTGGTTTGTGCTTGAAATGTATGAATCATACGCATATAAAATTCTCTCATTATTCTATAAGAAATATGATCTTTATATTAAAAAAACTAAGCACTGAGTAGTGAACCAATTTTTATGTAAATCAGTATATTGCTAGAGATAATTGTAAAAGAAATACAACTGAAACTGGTGAGCATGTTTTTCCAAGTTGACAATGTCTGTGTTATACAATTAAATATAGTAGTAACTTTACTGTAGTTCTGCTTATTAATAAATTCATTATGAATTAAGATTCTTAATAGTCCTATCCAAATGATATTTGTTATTAAATTAATGCAATAGTTTCACTAAAACCTACAAGATCATCCACTGAATAACAGTTCCTAGAAGGTTCTGTGGTAACTACAAAGTAACCATAGGTTTGCCATGTAAAATAAAATAGATATATTTTTAGGGCAAGGTACAGGATAAAGATAAGGTCTTTCAGTTGTCTTTGATCATGTCGTTAAATCAGGAGATGTGCTTTGGAATAACAAGCGATGGTTTTAGTCAGCAATAGGCATTAACTAGCCAGAAATAAAAAAGGAAAAGCAAATTAATTTGAAGGTAGTAAATTCAACTGTTTCTTTTCCATACGGATATTCTTTTCTGAAAGATAATGTATCTGTGTGTGTTTGCATGTTCACATATATAGAACCATTTATGTCTGGGGGATGGAACTCAGCTTGTTCGTCTTGACAGCATCTTTACCTACTGAGCCATTTTGAGCCATTTTGCTGACCCTCCATACAACATCTTTACAAGGGCTGGTGGTGGTATCACATTTCAAGTTAGAACTAAGAACATTTGTCACCAAAAATTTGAAACTTTGACTGTTACTGTCTTTATTTTGGAATTGTTGTAAAAGTCCAGAATGTAATCACTCCATTTGTTTCTCTTGTTTTTCCCCCCTTATTTTCAGGTCTGGTATATGGACAGTTACACTAACAATAAAATAGTTCGTGAATACAAGTCCATTGCAGACTTTGTCAGTGGAGCTGAATCAAGGACATACAATCTTCCTTTCAAGTGGGCAGGAACTAACCATGTTGTCTACAATGGCTCACTCTATTTTAACAAGTATCAGAGTAATATCATCATCAAGTACAGCTTTGATTTAGGGAGAGTGCTAGCCCAAAGAAGCCTGGAGTATGCTGGCTTTCACAATGTATATCCCTACACATGGGGTGGATTCTCTGACATCGACCTAATGGCTGATGAAATTGGGCTGTGGGCTGTGTATGCAACTAACCAAAATGCAGGCAATATTGTCATCAGCCAGCTTAATCAAGATACCTTGGAGGTGATGAAGAGCTGGAGCACCGGCTATCCCAAGAGAAGTGCAGGGGAATCCTTCATGATCTGTGGGACTCTGTATGTCACAAACTCCCACTTAACTGGAGCCAAAGTGTATTATTCCTATTCCACAAAAACTTCCACATATGAGTACACGGACATCCCCTTCCATAACCAATACTTTCACATATCCATGCTTGACTACAATGCAAGAGATAGAGCTCTTTATGCCTGGAACAATGGCCATCAGGTCCTGTTCAATGTCACCCTGTTCCACATCATTAAGACTGAAGATGACACATAGGCAAATGTCATTTGTTTTTATCTATCTTCACTGTCATTTATGATAAACTCTATAGGAACCTGTCTGTGTTCATTTTTTTTCTCCTTGATTGACTTGTCATCATTTCTCCAAAGTGAAGTATTTTATTGTATATTTGGAGTTTCAAAAAATATTTGTCTAAGTTAATGTGTTGTTGGAAACACATGTTAACTGCTAAATTCACAGGGCCTATCATGCCCTTGTCATGCAAAGCACTAAAAAGAGTTTAAGTGGCTAGAGTCTTAGTTTTGCAAAAGATTAATGATCTGCCTTGTCTTAGAACCAGACTAATGGTGGCTTAAATGCATGAATGTCTTCTTTTTTGAACTGTCATTTTTTTACTGTCTCTTGCTCTACATTAAAAAATATTTTCATAGGAATTAAGGTAAAAGAAAAGCACTTTCTCCCATTTATTTCTACAAAAAGATTTAAAGATTTTATTTATATGGAAATTACTATCAATCATGTTGCTGTTACCACATTTTCTGATGCGGTGCTGTGCAGCCATTTCGAAATCTCTTGCTGACATTTTCTTGGCAATATGTATTTTTATCATTGTAACCACCATCGTACAATTGTATTTCTTCACTTCTGTGAAAGTCATATTTTTTATAAAGTGCACTAAAATTTAATCTCAGTAATTATTCAAGTCAGTTTTCAATTGTGGTCGAGAAAGATCTTCTTGGCTTACCCCTTCACATAAGCACTATAAACTTAAAAAAAAATCAAACCAGGGATCCTATACAGTATCTTTGTTTTGTCCTAAGTTCGTTCTACCATTGGCTCTGAATTTGAACACAAATTCAATGTCATAATACCCTGTTTCCTGGAACTATCCCACATAATTGTTGATAAAATACGTAGCTGTGTTATAAAGTCTATATTTGATTCTATTCATTTATCATATTAGTGTTATTATGAACATACATATTAGTATTTTAACATATTTTACATGTAACTTTCAATAATGCCATTTCTTATATAATATGAAGCACATGAAGAGTATTAAGGAAAGAAAAAAATGTGTAATTTTTTCTATATTAAAATTATGAACCACGAAGAGTTAATGGCAAGCTTGTACAAAAGAAAATGATGAAAAGAATTGGGAGTTGTCTTGTTTCAAATGTATTAATAACCAATTCAGAAAATGAAATAAGAAGGCAATCTCCAGATACCTTGCCTCATAGTGGGTTCAAATTTAAGGAATATAAGAAAACAAAACTTTGATATTTATGTTACTAACTCTACAGAACCTAAAATCAAATATTGAACATGCCAATGAGTTTAGAAGTACTTTCCATATGTTAAAAAGAATTCCCCAGGGCAGCTTTATTAAAATTAATGAAGTTGTATTTTAGATTTTTAAAAATATATGCTAAAATAAATAATATATAACTGAAAGTATAAATTTTTATGTCATACATATATAATACCACATTTTTAAAACAAGCATATGATAATGCAGACAAAGCACTCTATAAACAGATATTGATATTTAGAGTAATTCATTTTAAATCCTGCAAGTGAAGAGTTATCCTCAAATATCCCATCAAAATTGGAGAATCTAATTACTTAATCTTGAAACTCAAGGTTGAATGAGTAGTTACTTTTTGTTAATAAAACATAAGTATGATCTCATGGGCACCCTGTGGTTTTTTTAATACTAGTGACTTCTCTTCCCAAACATTTATGTAAGTTCTCTTCTACAAATGAGAGTTGGAAAATTTAGGAGATTCATTTGTCATACTACACATATCACAAAAATAAGCAGTTCATACTTTATATAGCAATTTGTATAAGATTAAAAAAATCATGTCAGTTTTAGAAATGAATCAATTTTTAGGTAGACAGACTCTAATAGGAACCATTCTTTTTACGTTATGTGGTGTCACATACATTTAAAATATGGATGATCATGGCTTATTTGTGAGGTGCGCATCTTGTACAAAGCCTTGTTGTTTTCTATGTATGATGTCTTCATCTATCCAATATATAGTGTATGTGCTGCTAGAGTAAGCTAAGATTTTATTGTTACTAGAAGTGGGGTAACATGAGCTTAAAATATGACTTGCATTAAATATTTACAGTTTATGAGCATTTCCTTAATAAATTATGTTCAGTTTTGTGCCTGAAATAAATAAGAACTTAATCACTGTTTCCTTTTTAATCTCCAGCAAATAAAGTAATTTTATGAGGAAAATAATCGGTATTTTAAAATCATCCATAGAATGAATCCAAGCAGTGCAGAAATCTAAAGTCAGAAAATCTTCATCTGAAGTGAGCAATGTAACTGGTATTTTCTAAATTAATCAGCTCATTAAAGTACTCGGTGTCATTCAAATAATATGTCTGTGTTTGGGTTGTGTTGGTGTGGTATTTGTATTTGTGAACCTTGAATCACAAGGCTTATTATTTGCATCTAAATTTATCTCTACAAGTTCAGATAATGATAATCTTCCATTGCATTAACAATGTTGGAAATAAAAGAGAAATAGCAGATACAGTCTATGCAGAGAAAATGGGTGATTAATCATGCTTTATTACAAATCCTGTAGCCCTAGTTGCCATCTCCATTGTGGTTTCATTTATTTATAATTGTAAACACTCTTTGTGATGAAAACTTAAGAAAATATTAACTTCCTGTTGGTGTTTACTTGTAATTAAAGAAAAAAAACACAACTATATCCTCAGATTTGAAAGTCACTGCCAAATTTCTGAGAAGAACTTTTCCAATCAGAGTGATGACTCCCGAAATATAATCATATAAAATTATGAATGTTTTCCCATCAAAATAAAAACAGTTTTCACCTAGTAAGATGAGTTTTACATGTACTAGTTCTGAAGTTTGAATCTCCTAAAAGAAAAGCTTTTGATTTTAAAGCAGCTCTCAGATCAACAACTGCTTGTTTTGGGAATGTTATATAAGAATACATTTTGGAGAAAAACAGAAAGTATACCTTCAAGTTAGAGCAACTACAAAAAATACAACCATTGCAGAGCTTCAAAAGACCAAGCCTTCCAGAAACAGAATAGTTTAAAGAGCACAATCAAAAATTGCATCTTGCTAACTTAAAGAAGTATAATACCATATTCCTTATCACACCTACAAATAAGTTTCTGTGGCATTATCAAGCAACATTTGATGTTAAAGTCATCTTCTCCATCATCTCAGACATGGACCATATAAGAAAGGCTGGATAGTAGAGCAGTCTACCTAGTACTACAAGTGGGGCACTTGAATTAAGCAAAGACTCTATGAACCTCAATTACTGACCTCTTACAGATAGAAATGGTAACTTCTAAAACACTCAGAGGCACCCCACATCATGCAGTTCAGTAAACTATATCTTTACTGAAATCAAGGTCCTGGAATGTTTCCATTTTCTAAATTAACTTAATGTATCATAAATCTTAATAATTTGTTATTAACGTGGTCTACAGAGAATATCTGGGATTGAAGAAAATCTGACCTTTTCAATGGTCATACTAGAAAAGTAGAATGGAAATATAAATATCTAGAGGAGTGACAGCTCAACAGCTCAACAGTTAAGAGCACTTACTTCTCTTGTAGAATACCTAGGTCTGTGCATGAGCACTGAAGGTCGGTGACCCACAATCTCCTATAACTCAATCTCTAGGGAATCTATCACCTTTAGCCTCCATGTGCATCTGACCTCACATGCACGTACTCACACACAGACATACACATAAATTTTAAAAATCAGTTTCTAGAAGAAAAAATGATTTCATTATAGCCTTTACATTATTTTTCAAAGGAATTGTAAATTTGGTTCATGAAAACCTCTTAAATAACAAATAGAATAGTATCAGCTATGCAACTTAGCCAACGGAAAATTTCTCCTTCAAACTTAACACACCCAGATGATTTACCTACCACACATGCTGAAAAAAAGCTCAGGGAAATGCTAGCCATTCTAGTTTAAGTGCTATAGAAGTCCTCTATAGTGCAATAATACATAGCCATTCAGGGTTTTTTTTTTTTTTGGCGAGGGGGGTTGAGACAGGGTTTCTCTGTGTAGCTTTGCGCCTTTCCTGGAACTCACTCTGTAGTCCAGACTGGCCTCGAACTCACAGAGATCTGCCTGCCTCTGCCTCCCGAGTGCTGGGATTAAAGGCGTGTGCCACCACCACCCGGCTGCCATTTAGGTTTTTATTGCACAATCCTTGAATTTTTACAAGAACCCTGAATTCATATATGTATCATACATATATATGAAACGAATGAGTAGTTGACATGCATTAAAATGACCAAATGAATTACTTATTTACAAGCTAATAATAGATGCTCTAGAACCAAGACATATAGCTCTCAACACATACATAGGTCTTCATGTGTTCAAATTCTGGTAGGAATAGCCCATAATAAAAATATGAAAATTATGTTCTCATTATATCAACAACTATGAAAAATTTTTAAATCGTCATGATAAAGAGGTCTTGGAGTCTTCCAGGGATAGACTTCAATAATGTTTAGAAAGATACACTTTTCCACTGTAAAGTCATTCAAAGAATGGACTGTCACCCTGAGACATAAGTGAGGTACATGACTTCTTCCTTCCTGTCTCTACAGCTCTGTCAAACAATATTTGTAATACTTCTAGTTTGGCGTTTTCATCTTGGAGTTAAAGATCTCACATCAGAGATCACAGAATCCTCTGAAAATATATAGCAAGCTTAATTGTTTACCTGTGATTGTAAGGTCACTCTGGTAGGTTTAAATTTTCATCAGATTCTCAAGAAAAGACATGATCCAAAAGGCTACTACTCTGCTAGTACAATCTCCTTCAATCCCACATTCATCAAATATCTGTATATTAAGCACTGACTAAGTGCTTATTACTAAGCTATCTATGATCATTCTTTCAGCCTTTAGGAATCTCAATCAGTTCTCTATTAAAAACAAATCAACATTGTAATGTTGCCATTGAGTTATTTTCTTCATAAAAACTCAATATAAAACTAGACAGGAATTTTGTTGTATTTGAGCTAAATCCAACTATGCTTCTGTGATCCAGTATTTGGGTCAGATTCTTGCCAAATTTGGTGACTCAAGAATTTGTATTATGAAGCCTATCCTACATCTCTGTGACAATATTTTCTTACAATTCCAAAACAGCCTTTTGGCAAGAGAGTTCAACTCTGATTGAAATTGAACAGATGCGGTGAGCTCAGTCAGATTTAAATACAAAATATTTTTCTCAATTAGCTGCTAAAGCAGTAGAAACAGCAAAAGAAAAGGTTTGAATATTCACCGTGGATTAGAAGCTATTTTCATTGACAGAAAATTTTCAGAAAACTTCAAAAAGAAATAACATGTTTGATGAGCACTATACTTGCATAAAAATTTAAAAATGAAATAATGACATTTAAAAGTAACAGTACAATAAAAACAAAGCAGAGCACTGAAGCTTGTTAGATTTGCTTTGTGTTTTCTCTCCCAAAGGACTTGATAAGATATACCCATTAGCTTTTATTCCAGTATCATCAAAAATAAGTATTTCCTTCCTTTCTTTACTTTGTCTTTTTGAATTTTAGAGATAGGGTTCCACCATATAACTCAAGCTGCCTATAACTTGTGAACTCACTACTACCTCAGCTCTGAATACTACAGAAAAATAATATTCTTAGATTCTCTTTCTCTGTATCTATTAACTCTCTTAGAAGTTATTCTTAGTAGATGAATTTTATATCAAAATTGAATTTTTTATAGAAAGATAAAATGTAATTATGTCAATCATTGCTGGTTCTAGATATTAATCTGAATAATTACTTTCCATTTTTTTTTTGGTTTATCCACTACTTTCAAATCTCATTGAGTCAACCCTATAACTGACTGCACAACCCTCAAATCTATATATCTACACTGAGTCATTTACTTTGAGGAATGTGTCTTTTGTTTGCTAACCTTTATTCTTCCCCTCTATTATCAGTTTTACTCATCTGTGTGGCTAAAAACCAATTGCATCTACTGAAGTGAATACTTCTATCTATGACCTTGAAGTACCATGCTAGCTAGTTCAGTTGGTAGAGCATGGGAATCTTAATTCCAGGGTCATGTGTTTGTGCCCCATGTTTGGTGCCAGATATTGCTGAATAATCCACAGATATTGATAAAGAAATTATTTATTTAGAAATTATTTTGGGGAGAACACCCACTTGACTCCATGCCCTCTCTTTTTCTCTATCTCTCTTTAGAAACAAACAAATAAACAAAAAAGCAATAGTATAATAAAAAAGAAAAAACACAAAACACACACACACAAACCCCACATCCATAAAAACACAAAATCAGAAGTAATAATAGTAGCCATTTTTAAAGTAAAATTGCAGCTTGCTCTACACTCAGATTTTGTTTCCCCGTTTCCCGTTTTTCCCTCTGTGAGGAAGATCTTAGAAACACACTTTGTTTTCAGAAGAACAGACAGAACCTTATGTTGCTAGAGTTTTCCTGCCTGGCCCACAGTCAGGACAAATCTCTCTCACCTGCCAGTCCCATAGCCACTCAGACCCGACCAAGTAAACACAGAGACTTATATTAGTTACAAACTGTATGGCCGTGGCAGGCTTCTTGATAACTGTTCTTACAGCTTAAATTAATCCATTTCTATTAATCTATACCTTGCCACATGGCTCGTGGCTTACCGGCATCTTCACATGCTGTTTGTCATCATGGCGGCTGGCAGTGTCTCTCTCCCTCAGCCTTCCACTTCCCAGCTTTATTCTCCTCCTTGTCCCGCCTACACTTCCTGCCTAGCCAATGGCCAATCAGTGTTTTATTTATTGACTAATCAGCAACACATTTGCCAAACAGACAATCCCACAGCACTTCCCCCATTTTTTTTTTCAAAAAGGAAGGTTTTAACCTTAACAAAGTAAAATTACATATAATTTGGGAATTTGGGCGTAGCTTCTCTTACTACTTCCTGCTGGAGGGGGGCGCTGTATCTTATGGGGAAACAAAGAAAATTTTAGGATTATGGAATAGTCCATGAGGCTGTATTGTCTGAGCCAGTTGCCTTCAAACGATTCTGGATGTTGGATCATCTGGGCCATGGTGTCATCGGAGACCTTTCAGGGGGTCTTGGCTGGTCAAACCTGATGTATCTTAATCTTGAACAAATCCATATCCTCTGGCTTTCTGTGGAAACAAAAGAGACTCTTTTCCAAAGCAACATATCCTTATATCCAAATTTTGAAGTCAAGGTATCTTTAAAATATACATTTTGGCATAACTCAACAGCTTTTACAATCAAATGTTTTTCTGCAGTTAAAAATCCCAAAGACAACACAATCCAGATTCTCTCTGTAATATTCATCTTTACGTGGCTTATTTTTTATATTAATTTTACTGTCTCTTTAAAGACTTTATTTTTTAAAACTATGTATTTGTTTATATAACTGTATATATCACATTTTTTGTCTCTTTCAAGCCTATGTATTTTTTACATACATTGTAAACTATTACATCTGAATCTGTCTTATT